GTTTTCCTAAACAAAGCAAAGAGCTTTTCTCCTTAGAAGCTGTTCTGTTTCACTCACAGTGGAAGAGGAAATAGAGGAAGAAGGAATATAGTGCTGCTTATTGCTGTTCATTTTAATGTTACTGTACCCACATAAATAATTTACTGAAGTCAGACAATTTTTCAAATCTATGTTTTACACAGACACTAAAACATTCTCAGATAATTGCACTGGAGCTGTATTTACTCATCAAAGAAATTGCATCACAGTACCATGGAAAACATTCACACCCATGTTCTCACAGTATTATTACTAGGGCTGGCATCAAGTCATCTGAGGCCCCCTTGTGAACATTCACAGAGGAAGCACTTCACCCATAAATCTGTGAAAATTTACTCGTTTTATGGAATCATAGAATCACAGAATAGTTTGGGTTGGAAGTGACCTTAAAGATCATTGAGTTCCAACCCCCCTGCTGTGGGCAGGGACAACTTTCTCTAGACCAGGTTGCTTAAAGCCCCGTCCAACCTGGCCTTGAACACCTCCACGACTTCCCTGGGCAACCTGGGCCAGTGTCTCACCACCCTCACAGTAAACATTTTTTTTCCTTAAACCCAATCTACATTTACCCACTTTAAAAACGGTGCCCCTTGCGCTGTCACTACAGCCCCTGGTAAAAACTCTGTGTTTCTTATAAGCGCCTTCATCTGTTAAAAGATCACAATAAGGTCTTCTCAGCACCTTCTCTTCTCCAGGCTGAGCAACCGCAACTCTCTCAGTCTGTCTTCATAGCAGAGGTGCTCCAGTCCTCTGATCGTCTTCATGGCTCTCCTCTGAACATGTCCATGTCTTTTTTGTGCTGGGGGCCCCAGAGCTGGACGCAGTACTTCAGGTGGGGTCTCACCAGATCAGAGGAGAGGGGGTGGATGCGGGCTGCAACCGCACATTGCAGGTTCATGTCCAATTTTTCATCCACCAGTATCCCCAAGTTGTTCTCCACAGGATAGCACTCAATCCATTCACCCCCCAGTTCCACTGTGCTGTTACACTTTGCACAAGGTCTTCTCAATACTGCATAACTGGAGAAAAAAAAATAAATATCTAGAAACAGCAGTCTAATCAAACATTTATTTCTGCCTTAATGCTTCGGAGACAGAAGGCCGCTTATCTTGCTTTTATTTACATTAAGTGTATCAATCTAATTTGTGTAACTCTTAAGAATAAGGCACATTATCATGTTATGTGTTGAGTTTAATTGATCTGTTATCTACTGCCAGAGAGTTAACATAGAGAACCTCAGCAAGGTTCGCAGCAGGGTGTGGAGCAAGACTGTGACCTCCCACATTGGTAACTATTTCTCATGTTGTTTTCAGAGCCTGTACTTCAGCTTTACATTGGCTCTTGCACTTCACAGCTGCAGTTAAGTACTTTGTATAGGTATCAGAATGTGTTTACTGAGCGGCCACAGTTCCTGTGCTAGTCTCATGGCTCCTGAGGGCCCATTTCTACTCTGAAACACAACAACCATTTAATTAATGATTGGTTTGAACACCACTGAGGATAGGTGCTATTTGCAGAAAGAGAATATGCTGGCAATGTATGTATTTTTATTTTTCCGTCAGCTTTCCCTTGTCGTACGGATTAGGTTCTGATTGATTTGCTGAAAAATCAGTCAGGACCTAAAGGTTTAAAGACAGACCGTGGCTGTGGATTAGGTTCTGATTGGTTTGCTGAAAGTCAGAACTGGAAAGTTTATAGGTAGACCAAAGCTGTAATGCAAATTTTGTGGCAGTTCAGGTGTTGATTGGTGCGTGCTTTCGTCGTAGATGGAGCTGGGACACACTGGGGAGTAGTGTGGTAAGCATGGCCATCCCGTGCTGAGACTTCTGACAGATCAGGCCTCAACCCATGAGATTTTGGGATGAGGGTCGATGCGTCCCTCTGAGCAGCTGTGTGTCCTGCATAAACTCTGCATGCGTTAGTGTCTTGCAAGGAGAGAGAAACTATTACGGGTTCCTCTTTTATGTCTGTAACTCCTGCTGTGATAGGCTTTGAGACATCAAGGTAGTAAGAATAGAGTTGTGTGCCTCTGCACACTAGCAAATCTGCGGTGAAGAAGAGCAGCAGATGAGAGTGCTGCGATACTCAGAGACGTGGCAGGCCCTGGGCTTCCAGCACTGGTGGGTATCTCCAGACTCCAGCGCCGCTATTTTGGAGTCTAGGGTTTAGACCCTGGACTGAGACCCTGGCCGGAGCGAGTGTGTGCCAAGGGCTGGGTTGTCCTGGGGCTGCAGCACAGCCCAGAGCAGCAGGGCCGCACACACCGCGGGGGGGAAGGCCTCCAGTCCCCACTCCCTCGGACGGGGCTGCGGTGGGGCCTGTGAGGGGAGCGCGGGCTGCCCGCGGCTGGGCTGGGGGGCACCGGAGGGGGAGAGGAACGGCCGGTGTCCCCAGGGGACAGCCGTGAGCCCTTCTCGGGAAGACGGGCACGGTTTTTTGATCTCTGCGCCGCCAGGGTTTGATCTCCGAAGCCGAAGAGCCCTGGACACCCGCCAGCGCCCGAGGGCGAGCGGCGGCCGGCCTTGTTTTCGAGCAGGGAAAGGCCGGGCGGCCCGCGGGGGCACGGCCCGGGGGGAGCTGGGGGGGGGATAAAAGAGTCCCCCGCTCCCAGAAACTGACCTTCGCACCTCGGTCACACGCACGGCCTCTCCCCCACAAACCCGCCGCTGATTGACCGCGCCAGCCCCGCGGCCGCCTTCACCCTCCGGCCCCGGCCGCCGTGGGGCTCCCGCCGGGAGCAAGGGCAGGCCGCGGCGGGGGGCGGGCGGCCGTGCGGAGCGGAGCGTGCACTGCCCCTGCCCGGCGGGGAAACGGGGGGGTGGAAGGGGCAGCCGGAGGAGGCGGGGAAGAGGAGGCCGGCGCTGGCTTGAGGCAGCGGGGGCGGCTCCCGCCGCGCCGCCGCCCTGATAAAACGAGGCGTCGGGAGGGGGCTGGCGGCGGTGAGAGGGGGCGGCTATGGCGTGGGGCTGCACGCTGTGCCTGGCGCTGG